TGAATTCGCGCCAGTTGTTGTCTTTTATCTTACCCGTAAAATGGTTTGTTTTGCCTGAAAAACACACAAGTTTGCTTAGATGTCCGGCCATGTCATTAAAACTCCTCATCAAAAGCGTTATGTAATGGTCTGCGTTTTTATCTAATACGCAAATTAAGAATACAAAATAACCACTATCATCTACGTGTCCCGCGGTTTTTACTTTATAGACTCAAAACCGCGGTACAAAGTTTCAATTATAAATTTGCTTATTTGCTCCATTTTTCTCAAATAAAAGCTCATTGCCATTTAAGCTACGCCGCTGTATTTCTTTTATTTATATTTCTTTAACAAAAGCTTTATCACCAACAAGTACACTCTGAATTTTTCATGAACACCTGAACCAACCCAAGAAAAATTAGATTTTTTTGTTTGGTGTGCTTGTCGTTAAGGAAAGAAATCATTAAGGCCAAGTTGCTTCCTTTCACTGAGTGCTTATGGGCTGCGTAACCTTAAGGAAATGAAACATGAGCTATTTCTCTTTTAATGAGACCTTTTTGATAAAATGTTCTGACACAAAGCGTAAAAGACTGTTCTAAGCAAACATGGGTTTATCGAAGCATTTAGATTTTAGTGCCCAACTGAAAATTGTCACTTGAATACTTCCTCCTTCCACATTTCTTTCTCCGTTTTTACACCTGGCCGCTTAAAAAAAACAACAACAATATACGAAGTATAGCCGGGTGCATTATACTCCTTTTAGAAAATACATGAGTTTTAATCGCTGTATATAAGTGGTTAAAAGATAAGCGGAACTTTAACTTGTCAGGGTATAAGGAACGCTCATTAATTGCCATTAATGTCGCCTTTGCTTAAAATTCTTAAAAAAAACAACAACAATATACGAAGTATAGCCGGGTGCATTATACTCCTTTTAGAAAATACATGAGTTTTAATCGCTGTATATAAGTGGTTAAAAGATAAGCGGAACTTTAACTTGTCAGGGTATAAGGAACGCTCATTAATTGCCATTAATGTCGCCTTTGCTTAAAATTCTTGTCAAAACATTTATCTTGTATTTAATGGCCAGCTAATACTCAATTTATACTCTACTAAATTAGCGTCTTCCGCCGCAGATAATGTATATTAGTTCGAACTGTGCTAGGCGGTTTCTTGGCGGGATTGCCACATTTCGCTGAAAAAACGAATAATGAAGCTTGCATTTTTGGTGTCTACAGGTCTATTTTCTTAGAATAGGCGAAAAACACTATTAGTTAAATCTTATCTTCGTGGTCCTCCTCCTTGAATCCAAATGTCTCTTTATTATTACAATTTCTGAAACACCAAAGGACAGCTAATTTTTGTTCAAATGTGCGTTGACAGGGGAAGGGCTGAGACGATGATAGTGGAAAATTACTTAATAGTTTTAAGAGGCAAATATAGTTAGCGTGTGTCAAGCCTTCTTCCAACCATTAACCCAGAAAAGCCTTTGCAAAACGTTTGTTTGGACACAAGAGTAATACATGGCACTACATGGTGATACATGGCAGTACATGGTAATACATGGTAATACATGCACAAAATTGGGTCCTGTGTTGTTTGGTGTTATGGTCAACGACCTTGTTCAAAGTTGAGGCGCTCGCATTAAATTCGTGGATGATCTGACGGTTTTGGAGGTTGTACCTCGCAATTCGCCATCCTTCTTGAATGTAGTAGTTGATGATATCCACGCTTTCGCTGTTAACAACAATATGCGCTTAAACCCCCCTAAATGCAAGTCCATGACTGTTGACTTTCTTCAATACAATACTTGCGTTCCACGCCCAATCGCGGTTGGTGGGTCCGATATTGAACAGGTTCCTACATTTAAACTCCTCGGTGTCCATCTTTCAGAGAACCTCACTTGGGCAGTGCACTGCGACTACATAGTGAAGAAGTCCAACAGACGGCTTTATGCACTGAGACAACTCAAGAAGTGCAAAGTTCCGTCGGCTGATATTGTTCATGTCTACTGCGCGCTAATTCCTTCTGTACTAGAGTACGCCTCCGCTGTCTTTGCTGGTTTGCCTAAGTATCTTGCTTGCTATCTCGAGAACGTGCAAAAAAGGGCCTTTTCCATCATTTGGCCTGGTATTTCGTATGAAACAGCACTTTGCAAAGCTGCATTATCCACTCTTTGTGACCGTCGGACAGTCTCGTGTATTAAATTTATAGGTAAGGTTCGGCCAGGTAACCCTCAGCGTATTTGTATATTTATCACAGCTTGTAAGGTATCCTACAATTCAGTCTTCCGACTGCAAAAGGGATATTAAACCAGTGATTTGATTTGATTTGATTACATGGCAATACATGGTAATACATGCCAGTGCATGGTAATACATGGTAATACATGATAATACATGTCAGTGCATGGTAATATATGGCCGTTCATGGTAATACGTGGCAATACATAGCAATACATGGCAGTACATGGTAATACATGGCATTAGTATATACACACTCAGTGATCTTGGCAATTCAAGCAATCTGATTGGTTAGCTATCTCGGACTATGACGTTATATTCACCGCGCTAGGCGGTGAATATAAAGCCGAACAAAATCGCTGTCGTGAATTGGGTGTTTTGCCAAAGTTTCAAAGTAAAACCTTTTTGAAAATACACGAATATCCAAGTGCTGATGACTTTGAAGGCAAGAAAAGACTTCATGGTGTTTAAACAGCGTGATTTATTGTGAAGTGGTTTACTTTAACAGAATTGGGTAGTAATTTAAATTTTCGGCGTTTTCTTTTAAACCGTTGATGCTAAAGCTTACAAAACTCGATACAAAAGGATTAAAACTATCATTTGCCATGTTTGAAGATACTGTAAAGATCTAACTTTTGCGCATCCACTGTTTACGGCTTCGTGTTCACGCATGAATTTTCACCCGTCAATCAAACTAATCGTTTTTTAATGGTTTCCTTTCTGATTCTGTTGAGATCACTTCGTGTGAATATACCAAAACAATTATTCACCTCAGGCTCAGTTAATATTGTTGAATAATCCCCTCGACTTCGTCTCGGGGATTATTCAACAATATTAACTGAGCCTTCGGCGAATAATTGTTAAATATATGGCTACGCATGGCAATACATGTCAATACATGGTAAATGGCAGTACATGATAAAACATGGCAATACATGGCTATACATGAAAGTAATTTGCAAAACATGACAATAAATCATTTTAAATGCATTCTTGATACACTTTAATAACCCTACTTAAATTACCTGACGAGATTGGTGCTCAGCCAGTAAAATCACGTCACTTGAGTAATGCGGACACGTTTGTACGCTCTTCCATGGCCACCGCGGTCAAACTTCTGAGGCGTTTTTTGTTTTAATTTGCTGGACTTCGTGGAGAAAATGGCAAGGATGTATCGAATCTTTCGTTATTGTAACTTGCAATTTGCCGACAAATACAGTAAAAGACATAACTATGACAAAGGACGTTTTGATATTTGATTGACCCAAGGGCACGATGGCTTAACTGACAGAAAAAAAAACGAATACCGCGACGTCATTGACTACTGAGTCAGGTTATGCAGTCATTCATTGGTTAAACCTTTTACATAATTACAATATGAGATGAGAAATGCCAAAGTTACTGTATGAAGCAAGTGAAGTGCGGAACAATGTTACTTTAATCATTCTGATAGCGTTACAGGTATTTCAGTCTATATATCTCATATTGGCAGAGACTGACATTATCATAAGGCTTTTGCAAAGCATTAAAACAATAGTTGAATATGTAGTCTGTTGATTCTTATTTAAACTCCCCCGTTTAATTAATTTACACTACTGTACTGACAGTAATAAATACAGGGTAAGTTGTAGTGACAAATCTTTTAACTTCCACCGGAGCATGGGAGTGCGGAGTCTATGGAGGAATGTCAGTGAATCTACAAGACAGGTAATTCTTCATTCCAACCATTGCAAGTTTTGTTTTTATGTATATACTGACTTTAAGTCACCCCATACTCTATTGATAGTTTAAAGCCACAGGTGGCCAACTTAAGAAAAACTTTTTCCCATCTTGCCCTGAAACCCGAGGGCTTCTAAGCGGGATTTCAACGTACAAATGCTAGCGCTATGATCAGAGCCTTTTCTTAATTGTATCCTAAATTACCAAGCTCAAGGTTTTAAGGCTCTTTCTTAAAAGCTCTTACTTTCTTTTAAGGCGATCGTTCCAAGAAAAACCTTAAAAAAGAATAAAGAGAAAGAAAGAGCCTTAAAAGAAAGTAAGAGCTTTTAAGAAAGAGCCTTAAAACCTCGAGCTTAGTAATTTAGGATACAATTAAGAAAAAAAATACAAGTTGTATTTTAAAAATGATACTTAACCCAATAACTGTCTTCTAAAAAAAACATAAAAGAAAGTTTGTTTTAATTTCAAATCTTGAGGCCGCGTAGAGAAACTAAATGGTTTTAAAATGATAAATCTGTGGGTGACAACTTTCATTTCAGCCAAAAAGTTTTCAACGTTCTGAATGACGAACATTTTAGCAACCAGATATCAAACTATTGCATTGCACGAACAGCCCTTATCGTCGGTGAAAGACCTCGGTAAGACATTACGTCAATCTTTTACGAAAAATTCGCTGTGCTCTAAAATAAACTTCGGTGCAATCCAACATGGCGGTTGATCTTCTCATATAGTGGCTAACTTTTAAGGCTCGTCATTCTGTTAAAACCTTAATCGCTTTATATTTCTTTGTTCTCATCCGCTGATTGCTGGAAATCCTACTCAGTCCCGCTTTTTATTTTGGTGAAAGATTGATCTACAAATAGCCTAGTAAAAATCTAAATACACTCTAAGAGAGGTTTACATTCCTGGATGATGGCCTCCTGATTAGATCTGGATGGCCTTACTGTTACACATTTTTTGTTATGCTTAAAGCTCCTTTTTTGTTAGTTTTAATTCTTTCACTATTTTCTTGGCTTAGTTTCTAAGTCCATTACATGCATTTAGTTGTTTATACTTGTTCCGTCTTAAACTGTCCGATTATTGCGATGCTCCTTCTTCTCCATATTAATCAGCACTAGCTTCAGGTGGCACGTTATAATACGGATGATATTCATTGTGTTTGTTTACATTCAAATATGGTGCATCCCTTTCCATTATCGCCTCCATTTTTTCGATCAAACGGTAGAAACTGGGACGAGTGTAAGGGTCTTCGTTCCAACAGTCAGTAATCAGCTCATATCTGTTATGAATGGAGGAAAAAAAAAACATTCAGTGCTTAGTAGAGCTCCAGTCAATTGTTAGAGAGTGTCAATAGACCTCTTTATAGCTTATATGTTTTGGTTTCCCAAAAGAGGTCCCAAGGGAATTTGACCGTTAGACATGACCTGCATTGCCAAAACAAAACATACAAGCGAAAGAGGTCTATTGGCATAAAAGTAAAATTTTTAGTAGAATATATAGGCTTCTTAGCTTCATGAGTTTACAGGGAGGCTCCACCCTGAGGTCCAACCCCTTTTATACAGCATTTTTGAAAAATGGTACGACTACTTCACTTTTTAAGCCATTAAGCCCTTAACATTAAGCATGCAATAAAGGAGCATCTTTTTAAAATATCTTTTAATGTAAATTACCGAAGTTTCAAAATTTCCTACCACTTCAAACATTTTAGCTCGTTAAATTCCTACCTTTCCATATACATGTGGCCTAAAAAGGTACTCCTTTTGGGTGAAGCTTCCACGTAAAGCCCATTAAAATGGGCTCTTGGAACGTTTGGGTTATCACGTTATTCCCCATTTCTTCATCCAGCCATTATTATGTAAAGCTCTGCCCCGAGGTCCAATCCCTTATCCTTTTGAGTATCATTTTGACAGAAAAGAACTTTTACTTTATCCCTTTTAATTGCTGAAAAATGTACTTCCTTTAAAAAAAGGAATAAATAACAAACCAGAAAATTTGCTCGACTTTTTCACTGCCAAAAAATTTTATCTGGTCCTCTTAAGTCATTTTACAGACCGACATGACAGATTTCCCTACCCTTTCATATACTTCGACCAGCAAAATTCCTACACCAGAAGACTGAGAGAGGTACCCCTTTTGGGGGGTGCCTCCCCAGTACAGGGAGTACTCCCTCCGGCCCCAGGAAAGAGATTAACCTAATCACTGCTAATGATGCCTTTATTGACCATAAAGCTAATGGAGGGTTTCCTTGTTCAAAGAGTGAGGATCCCAACAAACGCTTTCCCTTGCCGTCCGTCTGGTCAGTATTTAATGTGATCAAAGAAGGCGTTAAAATATTTGACGTATTCGTATGCTGCACCGTTCGGTGTGAAATGTAACTGAGCAGACGCACAGAAAAATGGAATCTGTTTGTTAATTCTAAGACCACCCTGATCAAGAAACGTACACGTCATCGGAGCACACGTCAGGCCTTTCCATGCGATAACCAGTATCGAGCAGTCGATACAACTCTGAGTTGGTCAGCGTGGGGTATGGAACGCCTCCTGACGATTGCGAGAAAGAAAACAAATGATTACATATCGGCAACTGAATACGCGTAATTTTCCATTGGATAGATTTATATTAAAGATGCCTTAGTCGAATGTCACTTCTCCTCATATAAACTCAATAAGGCCACTTTGCAAAAATTGTTGATTGAATGGAGGTCTGATATATAGCCAATGCAGTTAAAGGCGTAATGAAAGAAGGCAGGGCGATTAACAATAAGGCTTCTCGTTTCCAGTCATCAAATGCTCGCAAATTTAATATGTATTGTCACATACGGTTATCATCTAGGAGATGTCTCACAGCACTTAATCAATTAAAACAAAGCCCAGATCAAACAAGAAAATTCAAACTTGCCGCAAACAAAACATTATGAAACATTGTTTTCGCCCTTCCTGGTAGCAGTAACCTCTATAACAATCGTAACAGTTAAGCCACGTCCCACCATGGCAAAAGGGGAAAGGTAGGTTAAGGCACAGTCCCCTTAATTCCTTTGGAAAGCTCAAAACTTTGCAGTGTAAAACCATCATCCTGAGGGTCGTGCATGCGTTTTCAACATTTTGACATCATTTCTACAGTCGATAAGAGTCACAGACCATGAAAGATGTTTTTTTGATTTGTCAGTTAACCTCAAATTTAACATGACAATAATAAACTGCAACATTACGGTCCACTCACCCAAGGTAGCCATTTCCCAAAGAACAACACCAAAAGACCAACTATGAAAAAAAAACCCAAAGAGGTTATAAATATGTACAGATTCACGGCATTTAGATTGTTTATTTCCCCGTTTATTTCTTAACTCCTTTTATTTGTGGTGGACGAGCCCAAAAATGCGTGTACTTTTGAGTTTTGGATGTAATTGAAACATTTTATTGAAAACTGTCTCAACCAGAGGAAACTGTTCACTGCATGTAAATCACTGCTTAACCTATCGAAGCGTTCCAGTCTCCCTCTACATTCCGATCTTAATTAATTAATGACTAACGATTTTGGCAAGTTTTTCCGTGACAAAATTAACTCCATTCGGCTTGAGTTTGCACTCCAAGGTAGCACTTCCGATATTAGCGAATCCCACTTTGCACTTGATGGTCCCTCTTCTTCTGAATTTCGTCTTCTTTCTGAAACCGAAGTTCATGAACTAATCAAATCATCTACAAAGACTACTTGTTTTCTCGACCCCATTCTTACTAAGCTTTTTACTGAGTGTCTTGATGTATTACCTCCTCCAATTACGAAATTAATTAACCTTTAGCTGGAATCAGGCTATTTCCCTCTCATCTGAAAGCGCGCTTTGTTAAACCACTGCTTCAGAAAAAGGGTGTAGACCTCATCTTTAAGAACTATAGACCTGTGAGTAATCTCGCGTGTGCTTCAAATTTTGTGGAGACTGCGGACGCCAAGCAACTTCAACATTATTTATTCAGCAATGATCTCTTCCCTGTTCTGCAATCAGCTTATCGTCCCAAACACAGCATAGGAACAGCACTTCTCCAAGTCACTAACGACATCCTCCTTAACATAAACGATCAACGTGTCACTCTGCTTCTTCTCCTCGGCTTAAGTGCGGCTTTTGACATTGTCGATCACGTCACTTCACTGCATCGACTTCAGTTCACATTTGGTATAAATGGAAAAGTCCTCTCCTGGTTTTCGTCTTACCTGTCTGGAAGGTCTCAACAAATAGCCATCAATGAGACACTCTCTACGGAATTCGAGTTGCAATGTGGTGTCCCTCAAGGTTCCTGTCTGGGCCCCTTATTATTTACTCTGTATTATAGTAATCTCTTCGAGATCATCAAACATCATTTTCCTACGGTTTATTGTTACGCTGACGACACGCCGGTATACATCTCATTCTGCCCAAACGACAGGCTCGATTACCTTAATGCTGGACAGTTACTGGGAAGTTGTATTATACTGATATTCGTTCTTGGCTGTCGCATGACAATCTTAAATTAACTGACGAAAAAACTGAACTTCTTAAAATAGGTACACAGCAACAGCTTGAGAAGGTAGTTATCACTCATATTCGCGAGGGTAACATCAACATTCACCCTGTGCCTGTCGCTAGGAACCTTGGCTCGTGGTTAGATGCCAGTCTCTCTATGACGGAACATATTTCGAAAATTTGCAGCTCATCATTCTACTATTTTAATAACATACGTCGGATCCGGAAGTATCTCTCCAATAATTCAGCAGAGTCACTTATTCATGCTTTCATATCAATTCGTCTTGACTAAAGTAACAGTTTATTGTATGGTCTGCCAAACTGCTCATTGATCAAATTACAACGTGTGCAGAATGCCAAAGCTAGACTGATATTTACTGAGGGTAGATTGTCACATAACACCACTCGTTATTAAGTTGCATTAATTACCAATTCACCCTAGAATTGTATTCAAGATTCTTCTGCTAACTTTCAAGATCTTGCATGGCACAGCTCTCACTTACTTGGAGTCACTGATATCCCACTGAAGCCTCCGTCATGCTATAACCTGAAACGTTCTAGTGACACCCTCTTGCTTAAGCAACCCGCATTTATATCTAAAGCGACACTTGGTGACAGGTCGTTTACTTGAGCAGCACCAAAACTCTGGAATGCATTGGCATTTGAAGTCAGAGACTCCAAGTCGATGGACATTTTTAAATCAAAGCTAAAGACGCACCTTTTTCCTTTAGCATTTTTATCATAACCTGCAGCGCAATATCATAGTAGCATTTATTTAGCACAGGAGTATTATTAGGCAGTATTAGTATTAGTAGCAGCTTTAGTTTTTATTTTTATTTATTTATTATTATTATTATTATTATTATTATGATGATGTTAGTATTATGCACCTATCAATGTAATGCCGGCGGGGGGCGGAGGCAGGGCATAGGGCGGGGATTTGACTTTTTTCAAAAATTTGCAATCAAATTCCCTGCCCACGGGCAAATCATTTCAGTCAAATCTAACCAAATTTCCCCACCCCAGGCTGCACATTGCTGTCAATCCCAAGGCAGAACCTAAGAAAGGCACAATAAAAATATCTCCAAATAAAACTCTGCAATCTTTTATAAACGTTGCTGCATCACCAAAGATACATGTTCCTGTTACAGCTACAATTATACGTTTTAACCATAATCCGTGTTACACTGCGTAGAATACATAAACCTTTAGGAGAAAGTCCACATTTAATAAGTCTAAATTAACCGTTCTTAGCAAAGGGTACAAAGAAAGTCAGTTTTATAAGTTTACAGTGATTGTAGCGAATGAGCCATACACTAATCAATTGTACTTGCAAAAATCGACTTGGTTTCTCTTTACCTCCGTTTACTTTGATACCACAGTATATTAAGAGGTTCAATTGATCAAAAACACGCTAAAACAAACAAAATTTGAAGACAAAACAGTGAAATCCACTCAGCCTTCGCTTGTTCTCATTGGCCTCCATGACTTCCTGATCTTTTCAAACCGTATGGCGCATGCGTGAAGCGTGGAAGCGGGAAACATNCCCCCCCCCCCCCCCCCCGCCGGCATTACATTGATAGGTGCATTAGTTATTGTATCCAGTTTCCCACTGTGTGGTTTTATTGTGAAGCGCATTTGAACATTGAATGGAATTTGCGCTATACAAATTCATTCATTCTTCTTCTTCTTCTTCTTCTTCTTCTTTTTCTTCTTCTTCTTCTTCTTCTTCTTTTTCTTATTATTATTATTAATTGGAGAATTGTTAAGGACAGGGAGAATCCGTTTTTAGCTATATTTAGACAGGGATGCCTTCAATTCTATGATTCCATATTTGGGCAAACAATTTTCCGTTCTTCTGATTGGACGGCTAAAAACCCACCCTAGCATGGTTATAAACAAATGGGGAGAATTTTGGCGCTTCAGAGCTATATACTTCTGTAATTTTTTTACGGCAACTACAATTTTGAGAAGTGATTCAGTAGAAACGTTTCAATAGTTCCCTTGTCAAGGGAGCGGGAAAACTCATCACTCACACATCACTTTTGGTCGTGTAAACGCCTTGATAAAGTGATTCTGGGGCCATCCACTTTACAGGAAGTTTTTGGGACTTCGTTGTGCTGCTCATATCTTCATAGATTTGTCTCATCAACCCAAAGTCTGACACTTTGATCTGGTTGTCATGGCCAACAAGAACATTACGGGCAGCAAGGTCTCTGTGAACAAGGTTGTTTTCTGCGAGATGATTCTAATAACAAATAAGCAACGAAACAACGATTAAAATTATCTCAAAACGTAATAACGGGGCTACGCCGTACACTAAGTAGTTAGGTATAGCTGAAAAATCCAGATGAAAAGTAAATATCGGCACTGATCTGATTCAGATATTTACGTTCAGACGCATAACGAAACGAATTCAGCCAAAACTGGGTCGACCGAAAAGAAAATTTTTTCCATATAAGCCACTTTAATGCGCCCATATCTAGAAAAACAGCCAATATATTTATCCCGTCTGTTCATGTTTATAAATTATTGACTTTTGAATTCTTCTTTCCAAGTTATACTCAGAACCAGAATCCCAGCGACATTCGATCCAGAAAACAAAGATAATTACCATTCCTTTAGCTATTTGCCAGGCAAGTGAAAACAGTTGTTTGGTAGAAAAGTCCTCCTCTACGTCACAAGGATCCTCGCCTGACTCCTCTAGGTTTTCAATTGAAAGTGGCATTGCAGAAGCTTGATTTTTTCCCAGTGAAACCGATGACCTGATTAGAAGTTCTTTGCCAGTTACTTTGAATTCCTCATCCTAATTAAATTGATAAAAAAAAAACTATCAAATTTTTGGTTTAGCTTGAAACAGCACAGCTTTCAAGTAATTACTTTCCTTGTTAGTAAATAAGTAACTAACAGATAAAAAGATAAAAATAACATAATTTGCTTAAGCCAGACAAGAGCCACGGAATATATGGTATTATCTATTGAAAGTAATTTCAAACTGACCAGTTAAGAGCTAGATAAAATTTACTTTGGGTCCAGGGTACTGTTCAAGTCTAGGATGAAAATCCACGCCCACAGGTTGATGTTCACCCAGAAAGCCTCGGCCACCTGCTGATACACGTGGTACTGATTAAAAACAACAAACACACCATTTTACTAGAAGATTCCTTATATCAGCCATCGTTCTGGAAGTCACAAGCCCGCAACTGAAAGTAGCTCAAGAGAATGAAAACAAGACGCTGAAACGTAAATCCAAGACAGCGCAGAAAAGGTACACCATCGACGAAACACATTAGTGGCACAGGAAAACCAAGATCACAAAGGCGTTGGGTCCTTCTAACGTGAAACGTAAGCAAAATAAGGCGCCCTAGAGGCAAATTCTTCTTTATTAGTGAATAATTAATTATTATGGTGTTTTTGTTTTCGTCTTACATCTACTTCGGTGGAAGTCGATGGAATCACTTCAAGAACGGCATCTTTGTTTCTTTGTTGCGGAGACACTGCAATGTCTTCTTGGTCTTGGTGTATAGAATGTTGATTCTCCTTAACTTCATACTCATCAGCCAAACTTTGCTAAATGATTAAAGAAAATGGCGATGAAATTTAAATGTAGAAGAAATGTAACGTTATTGCTGGTTTTCACTGTCACGCTATTAAAAATAAAAATCAAAACCGTTTAATAGATAAAGTCTAGAATCTGGGAAATGAAAGATGGAAAATATACAAAGGCCCTCGCCAAGATTCAGGTCTGTGCAATTTTTCATGCGCGAGAAATTTTCGAGAATTTTTTTGCCTACATTTATAGAGCTTTATATGGAGACGCAATGTTGGTGCCCATCCGGATGGTCACTAACATTGCCGGCCGGAAACCAACAGAAACATGTGTCACGGAGTTGTGCTACTTAAGGGTGAATTCATCTCTTGAGGAACTCATTAACATTTACATTAATACAATGACCATTCAGATAGCAAATCCCCCACACAGTCACTTTTTCAGCCTTCATGGCAGCCCTCTCGTCCGCTCATTGTCTGCATGCCTTATCCACGTTCAATATCATTAAATTTAAGAAAAAAACAGACGTTGTTAAGTATTTCTTTTCTATAATATGGCCTTGAAAAGTCGACGCCAGATCCTGTCGCATATCATCGTTGCTTTCTTTTGATAACGCGGATATATAAATTTAAGAAAAATAAATTCAATGAAATATTTAAATATTTCCTTCATACAAGATGGCCTTGAAGAGTCGACGTCAGGTCCTGTTGGACTTCATCGTTAATGCTTTTTTCTGATAACGAAATCAATTCCATGTTTTCGTTCGTTTGCTGCTCCCGCTTTGTCCGATCTTTAGCAGGTTTACTTTCCTTTGTAAAAAAAAAACAAAAACAAAAACCTTATTAAATTATTGGTCCAGTACTGGCCATTTTCTTCGTTTAACCATTATCATTCTTTAATATAATATATGGTGGAATCTTGTATTCTATCCTTTCAAGTATACCTCAAATTTCCACTCTGTTGTTACTCTATGCAATGAATTTTGGTGAATTAAAGACTAAAAGTTCAACAACAACCAGATGACCTACAGATGCCAGGACAAAAATCTAGGTAAACGTACTTAGTCTAAAGAAATAGATTTAAAAATTAACTCATGATTACGTTTTGTGGTATAAGAAACACTTGTGAAGGCACAACCACCACGACAAACCAGTGAGGATCAGCCGGATCTTTACTAGGCCTGATCAATACCAAATTTAGTTTTGTGGAAAGCCTACTTGATTCCCAAACCTCTCTCTGAGTTTTCTAAACGTCTTTATATTTAACTAATTCTTTCATAAAGAGGCGCTTCTCGCTTCCCGGATCATTAAATAAAGAGACAACTTCTGCATATCACACTTGACTAGCGCAATCGATAAAAATCGATATCAGAAAATCAATTGTCAGCGCTATCGTTTTAAACTATTTTAACGATATTATCGATTGCCTCCCAGGTTCAAAACCCAATAATGCATTATTTTACAGCAAATTATATTGGCAACATGCAGATGTTTTCTGATTTTATCTCACATTATTATGCTACTTCTCTTGATTTAGTTACGGAGTTGATCATCTTCTTTGTTTTGCATATTTACAGAACGATTTAAATGATCCTTTCCAATATGCTTTTTGAAGAAGCTATTTAAGCCGGGTCTTGCTGAAAAACTGTACACTGGACAGTATTCTCACCACTTGAACCAGGCCCGTAGGAACGAAGCTAAAAGTGACAGGGCACGACTGTTGTGGGACGAGACCCCTTCCTCCCCCCCCCCCCCCCCCCCACCCTTTTACGCTAAAAACAACAACACCCCTCTATCACGCCCAGGGCGGGGAACAGAAAAAGGGCCGTTTTAAAAGGGTGGTTGTTAAAAAAGGGGGGCGGGGTTGTGTCTCACTGCACGTCTGCCACTTTTATGATTCTTTTCTTTTTTTTTTATATTTAAAACAAGTTTTAAATGATTTTCTCAAATATTTTTTTTGAAAAAACTTTATACCGCGGGCTTTGCGAAAAAATTTTACACGGGACATTTTTCCCCCCCCTTACCCCGGCCCCGGGAGAAAAAACAAAAAAGTCCAGGGGCCCCTCTGTTGGGGGCCGAACCCCCTTCCCCCCCCCCCCCCCCGCCAAGTCTTTACAGTCTAAACAGTCAAACCCCGTTAATACGGACACTGAGGGGGACATAGAAAGTGTCCGTATTAACAGGGTGTTCATATAAAGCGGATGTCGGGGTTTCGCTCTAATGCAGTCTGGGCCATTTATTAAGAACTTTTAGATGTAGTTTATTTCCACTTTCAGGTTATCTTCAAGTAATATTTAACCTGTACTGTAATAAAAAAATATAAACTGCTACGTAACATTTGAATCTAGACTGAAATGACGACAATTGGCCGAGTATAGTACAAATGTTATAGACAGGCTGTACCAGACGATAGAAAAAAAAGGGACCGGTGTCAGGGCGCCGAGTGTCCACTCAAAATTGCTATAGATTACTGTGACAGTGGAGGCCATGGAATTTATTTAAACCAGTATGACCACCGTAGTTGAAAATATAGTGGTTTCCATCAGTACTAATTAGTCCAAATTTTGACAACCAGCGAGAGTTTTCAGTATAAAAGTCGTTGGCAACATCAATCAGCAACATCAATTTGTCCGCGTCCTCCTTGTATACCGATATCAGCGCGCAAAAGGTTGTTCATCCTCTTTTGCGTCATGGTAGAGCTAAGGTAATTCTTGATTCTTTTTTAGGCAGTGAAAGACCTTTCACTCAAAGCACTTGTGGCAGGCATAACTAATATCAGTTTCACTAAAACTGTTGCAGTCTCACTGAATGAAGCAGGTTCATTTGCATTGAGAAATTCTAATGGATGACAGAGGCTATGGCACTTTTTCGAACATGCATTTTCAAAATAGTTAGCTACGTTTCAAGACGTTCCCTCTTCATATCTGGACCATGAAAGTTTCAGGTTGATAACGACTAACTTGAGAAATCGCCTCCTGAAACCGTTTTGACAAGCAAGTTTTCGAGGTTCGTATTAATAGATTTTAGGGATGTAGCGTGAGATTTTGAAGGTGTACGCAAAGGGAAAAAAGTCAGAAGGCCGAAGGCACTGCAAAGTAGGGGGTCTGGGCGCATGCTCCCCCAGAAAATTTTTAAATTTAGGGGCTCGGAAATGCTATTTTCTGCGTTATTCACAGGACATTTTAAAAAATACGAAAAAAAAAATGCAAATGGTTAGAATATATTTTACTCATCTCTGATGTTGTCGTTAAGGTACAATGTTAACGGAAAGAAAGGTAAAACAGCGACGCCATCAAGGAAATTACAAGCAAAGGACGAGATCAGTAGCCTGTATGACAGCCGTCTCTCTTCGTCTTCCCTGCGAAACATGCATTGTGATAAGGAGCGAGGAGAGACGGTTGTATGCGCTGGCTAAGGGCGAGACAGGGATTTAAACAGACTTGAGAGGTTACAAAATTAAGAAGAGAAAATTGCGTTGTGTTATTCACTCAGTATTTTCGACGGTAAAGTGGTATCTTCTTCTCCTTTTAATTGTCGCCCAAAAAGTGGGAGGGCATGGGCCCACTCGGCCCCCCTACTCCTACGGCCCTGACCGAACTATACATTGTAGGGTTCAACTTGAACAGTTTCCAGTGCAAGCAAGCTGAGTCAGTTGTTTATAACTCTTTTTTATCCTGTCGATTGGCCGAAAATGCTTCGTTAGTGATTGAGTGTAATTTGTGAAATAAATTTCGTTACAAATTTAACCGTCCAAAGCCACATAAATAATGCACTTATGTTCGGAAACAACGTTCTTTGCCAATGTTAACCTAATCGAGTAAGCGCCGATTAAAATCGACAACTTCGATAAAAATCGATTAAAGTCGATAATTATCGATTAGCAACAACTTTTTCCTCTATCGATTTTTATCGATTTTCAATTTAATCAATCGCTCTTTATCGATAGGTTATCCATTATTATCGATTATCGACTCTATCGATTGCACTAGTCAGGATTACAAGGATTACACGAGAATTGCTTTCATGAGCTACAAGCCTTAACCACGTTTAAGTTGAGTTAAGCAGTTTTTCCATATATAGAAAAAATGAACGTCATCAAAAATCTTTTAGCCCTCCTGGCTGACTTCTTTCATACTTCGTCACCGAGATAATAAGAAGTCGACGCTGTGTCCTCGCTGTTATCCTGTAGTAATGGGGTCATTTCCATGTTCGATTGTATTTTCTCCGCTTGCTTTATCTGTTTCTTACCAAGTTTACTGACCTGTGTGGAAATGAATAAATTCAGGAAACTGAGGGATATGCAAAAGTCTTGCTAAGATTCAGGTCTGTGCGGTTTTTTCGTTTGCGACGTATTCGGAGAAATGTGTTACCCAAATTTATAGAGCTTTGTTTTGAGACGCCAGCCATGTTGGAATCCCTCTGAGGAACACAGATATGGCGGCCGGAAACTAACAGAAACATTGCCATAAAGCGAATACTCATCTCTGGAGAGCTCATAAACATTAGACTTAATACTTATTCAAAAAACAAGGACTGTTCAGATAGCAAAATCTAAAAAAAAAAGGATATGCTTCTCTTTAACCTACAGTTTCGTGACAGATTTTATTGCCCCATTATCGTCGCGTCACGCAATATATTAGAATATCCAAATGTGTTCTGTCACAAAATAAAGAACCTTTCGATCTGAAACTTTATAGAAATACACGTGTTCATGATCAATTGCTCTAACAGTTCACTAAATTGAAACTCAGAAGGATAAATATTTCTTTTTTTTTGAATTATGATTTCGTTACGTGCAAACCATTCAACAACAATCGGATGGGTAGATTAGATAGCTAGGTCAACCAGACATAAACAAACAAGCAGTCTGGATAATAAACGTTTTAGGACAGAGCTAGTATGGAAACTTAAACTACAGTTTATATACAAGCCTACATGATCTCTGGTCTCTCTCTGATCTTTCAGAACCTCTTTGTCAGCATAAGATTTCTCGGTAGCTTGAAGTTCTTTGACCTAAACATCAAGCAAGTCACAAAAACGGTACTTTACGTCTGCATGGCTTCAAGCGATCCTAGAGTCAAAAAGTTATTATCTCCATACTAGATTACGGCCCCTAATTCGAGGCACACCAGGTTTTATGGACTAAGATTCGTAAGGAGGATTTTAATACCATCCCTATGTTGTTACACCCAAGAATAAAATACTTTTAAAATAATAATAATAATAATAAATATCAAATAATTATTATCGTTAGTATTATCATTAAATGCTTTTATAATTTTGAAGTAACTGCAGTTGCTCAAATAAGTTGTACAAAATCTTCAGATAGTACCAAAATATATTCGTAATGTTGTCTCCCTATATATGTTTCTTGATAATTTCGTTATTATCTAATTATATAATTGTTCATCTCCTTACCTTTTTTCTTCTGCGGCGTAGCCACGTCAGCAGGTCACCACACGGAACGTATTCTATAACCAGGAACATTTTCTCCTGAAGCGTGCAGTATCCAACCATGGATACAACGTTCTTATGTGAACCCAACAGCTTCATCTGTTCAATCTCTAACGTGAACTCTGCTTTCTCTACTTCAGATGGATTATCTAAAGATAATTAAATAAAATGACCTGTTATTATTTTTAGTTTACCACTCCATGCACCCTCCCAGCAGCCCTGGGAGGAACTCCTGGAAAATTCGGGTGGCGGTGTGATGTTACAAAGTGGTTTCCCTCACTACCTAAACCTCTGTTCATAAAAAGGCGAATGAAAAAAAATAGATAGATAGATAGATAGAAAAATAAATAAATAAATAATAAACCAACAATAAAATAGAATAAAACAAGACGCTGTGGGAGCGTATATTTGGGCGTGGTCGTACCACGGTATGATACTTTGAACATGCCCTATTGCAGCTAAAGAACTGTCATCATATCTTACCGGAGAAGAAAAATCCTTTACTCCACTTGTTTGCTGAACCACACAGCTTATACAGTATGTCCCAATCCACAACAAAATTAGTGTCATTACATGACAATGTTTGAAAATATGCACATCTTTAATGCAGACATGCTTGGAGCCAAATTGCAACATAGGACATAAGTGGTTACAGCCCGGAGAGTAAGGTTTATCTCAGCTCCACTGATACTGACAGATGTGTTTTCACACCCATCACATTGTACAGTGTATTCCGGTTACTAACAAGGGTAAATAAAGTTCCCTAAGTCCTGTATCCACAAGGATTAATAAGAGAGTAACACATTGCATAAACTGCTATAAGGGCAGCACTGTTTACAGGAACATTGATAACTATTAACATTTGATATACTACAATGTTCAACATTGCTTGAGAAAAGATGAGGTTCAAAGGTGGCAATATGTACACCTTTTAGTTCATATATATAAATATATCCTCATTCCTATGTAGAGTCTGAAAATATTGGACTAATTTATGCATGGATGGTATTTCCAACAATACACATGTCCCTTCACTATGACTGTTATGATACATATCTCTATCATGAGAATCAAATACATTATATCCCCCAGCCTAAATGCTGTAGATACCAACACCAATAATTGACACCGTTAAAATGAATGAGTTGTAGTTCAGTGTCAAGAGTGTTTCAAATGCAGTACCCTGTGAGTGGCATAGACAGTAGTGATGGATGTTACAAGTATAACTGTCACTGTATTCAAGGTAGAAAAATTGCTCAAACACTGTAACCATTCCTGGCAATTCTGTTAACATTAACATAGATTGTCTTGCAAGCAGTGCTAGACTAGAACGTGAATTGAATACCAACAATCATTATTTGAGTCGTATCATCAACTGAAGTAATCTTTGTTATCTTAGTGTAAATTAAAGCGCACAGACTCATTGCGACTCATTGTTGTCCAGCATTTTGTCCAAATACTGTAACATTTCCTTGACAGTATGGAGCATTAATTGTTTTTGCAGCATCTACATAAACTGAAGGTCCTGGATTCTTCTCTATATCACTACAAAGCTTAAATTGGCCAAAATTAACCCGGTGATTCAAACTGTTGTAAGCACTATAAAATGGATAATTGCATGTACGGAGGGGCAAATTCTTACTTAAAAGCCTATTTGGATATCTAATTCCACCTAAATCGCCTGTGGTTTGATGCTTAGACGACAGATACACCTTCCCTGGCTTACGAACTATTTTTGGAGTTGCCCCTTAAGACCTGTTTAAGTGTAAACCTTTTCTATTTTTAACGTAACAATGAATTTAAGATGACAATGGTGTATTTTTCCGAATACTCTTCCATACAAAAAGTGTCACTTTCCGTGTTTTCTGTAACAAAGATTTTAATTTGTTCATCGGTAGTCTGCTAGGTGCGTGACGGTAACCGGTCATTTCGTTCCGTGGTCAGATCATTCCAAGTCAGATCGTGCCATCAAATAATCAGTTCGTTCCACAAAAAAGTCAGTTCGTTCCACACGTGAAAAGTCAAGTAAATCTTTCTAAATTTGTTGAGTGAACTTTATCGAGAAGAAATACGTTTCGTTCATACCAGAAGCTGATAAATTAATAATCGATCCAAAGTCGATTCGATCCATCCTAAATCGTTTGAAAACAAATAAGAGACGATTTCAACCAGCCACGGGCTTTTTCATTTAAACCACCGCTTTGAGAGTTTTTGAGCTAGAATCGATCGATGGTTTTGAAAGATATAGCTCAACAAGTAAAAGCTATGCCGTTTTGAAGGTACAGTATTTCGAAGCGCTCGTAACCTAAATATTTCTTTGCAGCGCCCGATTTATGCAAATTTTTAAAACAACGCGAGTTTCGAATTACAATCTCGATTTTATGGTAATTTGTCTTGCCGAAAATATAATTGACTAACCTGATTTAAACCAATGGAATTGTAAATTCTGTTATAAATAAATTTCCCACGACGAGATCTCAATTCAACCTCTTTTATTTCCTCCAGAACACAATTTTGCTTCTGTGCAACTAGCTCATTACCTTCTCTTGTTGTCACCTCGCTGCCATCAAAACACTCTAACACAAAACTTGCTGATAATGCAAAATCCCGACGCACGGCATCCTACATGTACCGCGTCACTATATACACAATTGGATGAAAAAACACAACTTACAATACAAAAACAAGTACATTAACCGTCACCCTGCAAAACAACATAGAAATAATAAAAAGAAGTGTTGCAGTCATCACAGTAGTTCCAAAAGAAGCCTCAGTCCCTTTTGGTTTCAATTGTTGACAATCGTCTCTTCCTTCATCGGAACAGATTTTTATCACAGGCAACTCGTTGTGTTCCGCAAGGCAAAAATGAAAATCACTATTGTCACACTGATAACCAGCTACACAAATCTTGCGACTCTCAAACTTGTTAAACATTCCTCTGTTCAAACTCTTATCCATTTTACACATACACTCCTGATATTCAGATTTGTTATTACGTCTGTGGGGTCCATGAGTCTTTGATGTTATTGAATGACTTGATAATTTCCTTTGTTTTTCTTTGAGTTCGCGGACCAGCCCATTCCGAAAACACTCAGTATTATTTTTTAGTGTGGGCCTACCGCGAACCGGAGGAGGCGCGAACAGAGTGTGCATTTGTAAGTTTAACCCGGGATAACATGATTGAACAATATATTAACACGTTCCTCGAAACGCCGCAGCCAAATGTTATCCAAACTGCTTCTTACTGCTGCGTCGAAAAATTTCGGATCAAACGATATCGAAATCGTCCCTCATTGGATTATCCACTCGACCTAACAAAATCGACCAATCACAAAATAAGGAAAAAATAAGGAAAACAGCAAATTCAGATGACCTCTTAGGAAACATGCAATTAAAACTGTCTTTCTATGATTGGTGCATTTCGATCCTCTCGTCAAAAAAACGTCAGACGCCAATCATCTTAGCGGACCTCTTAGGAAATGAAAGTTTTCTTCGACGGGTTCAAAAGGTCATAGTTTGTGATTTGTGGATTTCGATCCGTTTTGTGAGTTTCTGTGTTTCAAGGTTCGTTGCTTGTGATCTTATTGTGACCAAAACCCGACGTTAATATTGCAAATATTTTTGATAGATTTCATCCCTGGACTTCAGACTTCAAAATTTCGATGAGGCAAAATTACTGAAGATTCAGATTAACTTTTGAGATCGTAAAAGTGTGATAAAGTGCCGTGTGCTAGCAGAGCTTTCTTTCCCACATGCCTCTTACCTTGTAAAAGACGTTCGCTACCGTCTGTAAGCGGAGCGAAGCGAACAAATGAACGGAACAAATGCAATCGTGCATAACGCACGGATAACGTGTAAACGCAGTTTTGTTCGGCAAAGGTAATGAGATAAACCCGGTGCGCCAAATAATAAATACAGACCTGGTACAAGGCAGAGCAAAACCTAATCCTGTTTCACGTTTTATCTGTTTTTCCGAAATCGTGGAAATCTTTTCCCAATTTCACACATGTGATTGCATGCGCCGGTTGAATGACCGCTGCTTAGTTTCTTAGGTCCCTTACCAACTCTGAGGTTAGCATCGACGGGTATAAGCTCTACAGACAGGATCGGTTACGTAAACGCGGCGGGGGAGTCTGTGTTTATATTCGCAAACACATTACAGTCACTCTACTGAAGGACATTTCCCATTTATCTGATAATTATTTCCATCAGTTCTGGCTAAAACTGCAATACAGGAAATTGCGATCAGTCGTGATTTCCATATCCTACAGACCGCCTGATTGTCTGTTTTCCTGTTTTGAAGAGTTGCTGAAACCGAGTTACATTCAAGCACTTACCATGAACAAGCCCATTGTGGTCTCAGGTGACCTTAACTGTAACGTCTTAAAGGAGAGCCTAGAGAGCAAAGCCTTGTCTAATTTTTTGTCTGAGACTAACCAGAAGCAGATAATTACAACACCAACAAGGATAACAGACACCTGCGAATCTCTGATTGATGTTATTTTAGTCTCATCTCCTGACCTCGTCCACGTGCGTGGCGTTATTAACACTCCGATTACGGATCACTTACCCGTATACGTGTAGTTAAAGCTGAAACTCCCTAAACCTCCACCATGTTATATCTCAACAAGGAGTTACAAGCATTATAAACCCGATCTATTTACCGCAGACCTAGCAACCAAGTCAGACAAATTTCTTTCCATTTTCTCAAAGGAAGATATAAATTACAAACTCGCAACGTTTAATGACACTTTTCTTTCCACACTGGACGCTCATGCACCATTTAAGTCGATCAGAATTCGCAGTCGTCCCTGCCCTTACGTAACACCTGAAATTAAGGATCAGATGACCTTTAGAGATCAGCTCTTTCGTCGTTACCGACAAAGCCGAAACGCTGGAAGGCTAAAACAACTTCTTAAGAATGCCGATCACACAAAGATAACACTGGATCTCTATGGAAAATAATCAATACTTGTATTCCATCTAAAGAAAAAGAAACTCCGGTTTATAGTAGAGATACTGAGCTAGTTGCTAACGATTTCAACCAATTTTTCTCCTCTTTTGGGAGAAACGCTGCTCAAACTGCTGCTCAGTTGGCCGTAGGCAACAACATCAATATTTCAGATACAAACCTTATTTCAACACCAATGACCAGAAACTCATCCGAGGAACTATTCAACTTCACACCTGTTACCTGCACGCAGGTCGAACGTATTGTATCATCTATGCCTTCTGATAAGTCTCCTGGCCCCGACAAAGTCAGCATGCGCATCATCAAAGACTGCCTTCCTGTTATCTTTGGCCCTTTGACGGACATCATCAACTGTTCTTTCGCAACTTCTACCTTTCTAAACTCCGGGAAAGCGTCTGAGGTCATACCACTACTGAAAGACGGAGATCACGAGGAGCCATCAAATAATCGCCCCCTTTCGATGCTTGCCGTTGCTTCAAAGATCTGCGAGAAGGTAGCACTCCAACAGTTCAGCAATTATTTACAACATAACGGCCTCCTTAGTGAACATCAAAGTGGTAATCGTAAATACCACTCCACAGAGACTCTTAATATTATGATCAGCGACTTCTTATTAGATGCTATGGACAATAAGAGACTGTCAGCCTTTATACTATTAGATCTATCAAAAGCTTTTGACAGCATTAGCCATTCTATATTATTACAGAAGCTGAGCCTTGTTGCCGCCGACAAAACCAAGAAATGGTTTGAGAGTTACCCGTCTCATAGAACTCAGGTGGTCCGTATTGGCACATCTACATCTACAGCCCTCCCTATCACCCATGGCGTACCACAGGGCGCCATACTGTCACCACTTTTGTTTTGTATTTACATCAGTGATCTTCCTCTTGCTCCACAAGTATGCAATCTCGAGTCCTACGTAGACGACTCTAAGATCTTCTTATCCTTTCCAGTCAAGGATGTCGAGTCTGCAAAACGTGTTCTTGAAGAAGATTTAAGACGAGTGGCTGCCTGGTGCTGTAAAAATCAACTACTAATCAACCCTAAAAAGACCAAGTTCCTTATGGTCGGAACACAACAACTACTGCGCAGGCTTCCGAGCGAAATCTTGATCTCTTTCTTAGGGAAAGAGATCACACCTGTCTCCAGTGCCAAGGATCTCGGAATAATTCTAGACAACAACTTAACCTCCATCAACTTACTTCATCTTGCATGACCAAACTTTGTCAAATAAACAGGGTAAAGAACAGTTTTGATAGGGACACTCTGTGCACAATCATCTCCGCTCTATTCCTAAGCAAATTGTTCTATTGCTCTACAGTTTGGTCAAACACAACTGCCACAAACATCAAGAAGCTTCAAGCTGTTCAGAATTTCGCGTGCACAATCATTAAAAAAAACAAAGAAATTTGAGCACATAACACCTGCGTTACGCGAGATCAAATGGCTACGAGTAAATGAGAATCTCCACTACAGAGATAGTGTTATGACGTTTAGGTGCATGAAGGGCCTAGCCCCCACATATTTGTGTGAGTCTCTCCGAAGACGCAAGTCTATTCACTATCATAACACTAGAAACAGAGAATCCCTTGATATTCCTCCAAGCAAGACAAAGTCAGGACAGCGACATTTCCTCCATAGAGCAGTGAACATTTGGAACAATTTAGACAAAGACTTTAAATAGTTATCTTTACCATCATTTAAAAAGAAGTTGAAAACGCACATGCTAGAGAATTATTTTAATTAATGACCGCTTTTTTAATTTTATTCATTTTTTATCATAATGTTCTTTGCTGTTTAGTATTGAAAAGCCTCCTGGGGAATACTAATAAAGTATGTATGTAAGGGGTCAACAACCATGTCCTTCGGCCCCGCTCACACTTGTATGGCTTCTATAAGAGAGTTCCCCTGGGTCTAGCCTTTAGCATGGTGATGTCGTGGCTCAGTTTAATAATTTTTTTTCCCTTCTCCTCATTATCAAATGACTTGCGGTGTAAACTGGGCAACATGGGTCGTCAGAAAGAGTTGCCATACATCAGGGGCACCCAACGAGAATATAGTTCAAAACCACTTAAACATAGCATTGTTAAACGTATTTTAGTATTTAAATAGTATATATTGGCATATTTTTATCCCCTAAAAATTTTTCATCTGTTCGGATTTCCTAGCTGAAAGTCTGGTGACCCGAAAATTATAGGGATCAAAACTTACCTTTTCGAAAGTTTCAGCCAGGTAAAAGGCTCCCGAAAATTCTAGGTGATCTTTTTAGGGTAAAAATCCGTTAAAAATGGGCAATTATACCATTTTTTAGATGCTCGAAAATCCTAGGAGAGGCAGGCAAGCACAAAATTTTACAATAAATGTTCCGAAAATTGTAGATCTCAAATCGTCTTCCGAACAGATATTTTCCGAAAATTGACGTTGGGTGTCCTTGATACATGTACTGACTAAAGGCTGCATTGCTAAAATTTATATTCATTATTGGCTTTAATTCAGGCTCTGTAGATCAATTTACTTTTTGTTTGGTTTTGGGGAAATGTAAATTCTTAAGAGACGATTTGTTTAGAGCTAATAGGCTTAAACCTACTTTTTGGAACTTAACAGCCTTTATTATTTTTTTCACACTTGCATAGTGAATAAAGAAACCACAAATTACTTGCACTTCCAACTTTGCCGTGCTCTTCACCAGCGAGAGACAATCCCGATTTTAAAAATGCAATGTCTTTAGGTGGTGTGATTTGTTTTAATATCATGCGATCACCTCTTCGAAAAGAGTCGAGTTTTTTTTTCTGTTAAAATTGCGTTGAGATCTTAAAGTTCCCAAAGAGTTACTTAAATCCAAAAGGGTTCTTAGAGTAGTATGAAAAGGACTGAAAGGTAGTTAAGACTTTATGCCTTTGTCTATGGAGATAACAGTCAGTATTTCTTACCATGTATAACTTTGACAGCCACCAGCTGTGGTGCTTTCGGCCTCCTGGTTGATACAGGCCATTTTGAAGTCTCAGTGACCAACGCCTCCATCTCGTCACTCTTTCTAAAGGTTGCCTTGTAAACAACACCAAATTCTCCTCTCCCCAGCTCTTCGTCAAACTCTATTTGCTCAGGCAGAATTTCCCACTTGTCACGAGGAGTAATCTCGTCTTGTGAATAAGATGACCTAGAAAAAGGAAAAAAAAAGAATGCCGGATTATAACGCTAAGCACAATACTATAGTAACATATACTTGCATATCTGTAACCTTTACTAACAACAAAAATTATTGCACCTGGCTACTGGTGCATCGGAGGATAATGGCCGAAGTTGAGATGTTCTCCGCGTGAAAAAAAAAAGCTACATCAAAATAGCCGAGTGGGGATAAAAGAAACTGATTTTTTTTAAAGGACATTCAGTCAAGGGCACCATCCTTCACAAGCAATGACTTAACAAAAAAAAAAGAATTTATTCAATTCGAATTCATTTTAGGCATACCTAAAAAGCAAAATTCGTCTTCATCAGAGTATTCTTGAGATTTTTCATTTTTTTCCATGCATCATTCGAGAATGAAAAAATTTCTTTGATTATTTTTCATAAGACTTCCAGTTAAAGTTATCTGTCATCTTGGCAGGTGCACTACGTCGGTTTTGTTGACACGTGATGTAATTTAGCCAATAACGTCACGGGGAGCGAAGATTAATCGCTACGTTTAGATCAAAAGACAAAGCAAAAGCTTTCCTTAGTGTAAGATTTATTTCTGTATTTATGAAGCTAGCATAGCTGGAGATTCCTTTGTGTGTTTTTTTATTTGGTGGTTTGCAAAGTAATATAAGAGTTACAGCCGCGTGAACACGGCTGAACCGAGGTCGAAACAGAAAACGATGAGGGATGGGGCGAGGGGAGAGAATAATTACCGGGAAAGCGCTAGTAAAAAAAAGACATTAAAAGATCGTAAACAAAAAACCATTGGCGCGACATTTTGTCGGTTGCATGACGTCAGACCTTAAAACATGTCACATCATCCTTTCACACTTTCTGGAGGGCCAAAAAGAGGCGTTTTAAAAATCTCAAGGGGTTGAATACAGGAGGTTTTTCTCACCTACTTCTCCCCTCGCCCCCTTCCCTATCAATTCTTTTTCGTCCTCGGTTCAGCTTTCGCCCGGCTGAATCTCTTACTTTACCAAACCTCTGAAAAGAAAAAAGAAGCAAACAAAAAAAACGCCAGCTACGCATTAGCAGAGCTCCACAAACCTTTCAATAGTCTTTGCCTTTCTTTTTCTGTAGCACCAGAAGAAAATAGCGACCGACAACAGCAAAATAGCGGACGTGACACCAAGTGAAATGTAAATAGCTTTGTTAATGACAGTGGAATTTTCTGATGCAGATGCGGAAGTCCTGGTTTCTATGACTGCAAATAAAATAAATATATCAAACTGTGATCAAAGGTACTGTACTATAAATAGAAATGAGGAAGTTTTTTCCAAAAATATGCGGTCAGGTTAAAAGGGGTACAGGCATGTTAGAGCTTATATAGTGTTAAAACCTCTTCTCTTACTACACTGTCACTTGTTGACAGTGGAACTTGTCCACTGCGCTTCGGCGAGGACAAAAGCGGATCTTACCTGGCTAACTGAGCTTGTATACTCGTGTCCTCTGTAATTATAAGATCCAGTCATAATGCGAAGGCATTTACACAAAAAAAGGAACTACATGGAAATTCCCTTTGATTTTGTGCAACCACAAAGTATGGCAAAAACACCTAATGAAATTAGTCCGTTACCTTAAAATTGGGTTAGCACAAATCCAAATAGCCAAAGACTTACAGTGTATCACGAAGAACCCTCTGTGTCATCACTGAACAACTTTTGACACCCACCTATTTTTATCCTGCCGTAGCTGAGATTGGCCGAAGACTTACAAGTTGCGAAATAGAAGCATCATAATCAAAATAAAGAAAAAAAATTCCATAGGAGTACACCATATTTGCTTTCCGATCAGTTTTCTCCTTCTCATCATCATGATTCAAAAACTTTGAACCAACTTGTCTCTGGTTTGGAACATTGTCAAAATCTTAGAGTGCGCCTAAATAAATAAATTTTTGCGTTTCTATAACCATGACACTTACTACTATTACAAAGATCTTCCTCACAACATTGCAAATGTTCGTCATCAAACTGTCTGCATTGTTCAGCGGTTATACATCCTTGAATGGTGACTTGTTCGTTATCCTCCGTTTTTTTGTCAAATTTGAAACAAAGGTTTTCTGGGAATGAGCAGCTGGTTTCGATGGGAACCGATGAATTCTTGTTTGGGTACTGATAACAAATACGACCTGTGGAAAAATGCAGGATAATTGAGAGAGTAGTCGCCCCACCACGTGGTCACTACGCTTGGTGAAAGAAAAAGGTATGAGATAAATAATGCCATTAAAGTAGCTAAGCGGCAGTATTTCAGAGAGAATCTGGAAATGAACAAAGGAGAAGCGCGCAAAACATAAAGAAATAAATAATGATTTAGAGGTAGCACATCCACAAAGTGGTTCTTCGTCTAGCTGATTCCTGGTCGAACTGGAATTTGGAAATCCTGGTTTTTAAGGAGAGGGGAAAACTGGAGTACCCTAAGAAAAACCTCTCGGAGCAAAGGAGAGAACCAACAACAAACTCAACCCACATATGGCATCGACACCTGGATTTGAACCCGGGCCACATTGGTGGGAAGCGAGCGCTCTCATCACTGCACCATCCCTTGCTCCCCAGTAATGAACTTGCAATTAGTTAGGCACCAGTTTATTTTAAGTCTGTCAAGATAATGAAAACATGTTTTACGAAAAAAACAAAACAAAAAAAAAAAAACGACCAAAAAAGAGGGAAAAAAATCCTCTAGCGGAAGTCGAACCCCGAACCTTCGACGAGTAAAGTCATGGCGTTATTCTATTGCGCAACGACAACTGTAGTTTTAAACAAAATCGTTCAATTAATTATTGTAACAATGACGCCCGGATGGCAGTGTAATAAACCAGATTTAACTTTAAAAGGAACTACACTTTATTCGGCCGCCATGACACCCGGAAAGCATGGCCCAAACAAATATCCATGATCCTTTGCACGTTTACAGTAACCGAGAACTTCCGCTAACACAACTTCCGGTAGACAATACTATCGATACATTACATCCCTTCCTTTCTTTAGAAACAAACAGACTTCGAGAAAAAGTCAATAGGGCACTTAACAGCGAAAAATAAATCTGTATGAAAACTTTTCTGCTCGCATTGAGTTATCTCAATAAGACTGTTCAATAAAATCTAATAACATGAAATCAAATCTAACAGACTTCAACATAAGTCCAACGTGTCAACAGAGTTCACTTCATAAAGTACATAGTCCTTGTACTTCTCCGGCATTCTGACACTCCGCCTTGGTCTTGATGTCGCTATACTCTCCTCCGGTGGAAGAGTATTGGGTGCTTCTTGAGAGGCGGCCTCTGTGGCTTCCGGGGATTCCCCTGGTGGGTTGAACCGCTTAACAAATGAACTGTTCCGCCTGTATTCCACACCCTCCTTTGACCTAACAGTCACCTCACTGCCTTCCTTAGTCTGCACTGTGTATGGCTCACTCTCGAAATTTGCTTCTAGCTTGCCAGACGTTTTCGTGTTCTTCAGTAAAACCAGATCACCAGGCACTACAGGGCTTTCGGCTGCACCCCGCTTGTTGTCAGCATGTTCCTTGTGGGTGAACTTGTGATTCCATTCACGATCTCTGACCCCCTCGTCCAACAGGTTACCAGCGCGCCTCAACTGTGGCAGTTTGGTTTTCAACTCTCTGCCAAACATAAGGAACGCAGGAGTAATACCAGCGCTTGTTTGCGGTGTGGTTCTATATGCTAGCAGAAACTTCTGCAGTTCTTCACGTCAGTTTTTGCCCTCAACTTGAGCAACTTTCAAAGTCTTAAGCAGAGTTCTGTTCTGTCTCTCAAAATGTCCATTGGCCTGCGGCCAGAGCGGTGGAGAAGTCAAGTGTTCGATTCCGTGATCAGACAGAAACTTCTCAAACTCCGCAGAGCAAAACTGAGGACCATTGTCAGACTTGAGTGTAAATGGAAATCCATATCTGGAGAATATCTGTGTCAGTACATCCACCACTCTCTTAGCTTCTGTTGAGCACATGATCGCTACCCCGTAGAATCTACTGTAATAGTCGACGACTACGAGCAAACTTTCTCCAGTGGGAAGGGGGCCCATCAGGTCTATGGCTATGTCTTGCCAGGGTCCAGTAGGCGGCTTCACTCTCTTCATGGGCTCAGGAACCTGGAATTCACCTACGACTTGGCAACCATGACAAGACTTACACACCTGCTCTGCGTCTGAGTCAATCTTTGGCTACCAAACCTTTGTCCTTAAACGTGCCTTCATTTTTACGATGCCCTGATGTCCCTCGTGGGCAAGACGCAAGACTTCTCCCCGTAAAGGCTTCGGAACAACAATTCTCGTACCGCGTAAAACAAGTTTGCCTAACACACACAATTCATCCTTGACACACACATAAGCTGTCATCCTACATTGAGACCAGTCCCCACCTAAAATGTACTGTCTCGGGCTAGTAATTTCTGAGTCACTATCAGAAACCAATTCGACTTGTTTCGCTGTCAGGGCAACAGGTAAGCTTTCCTCGGCGACTGCCTTGACAAAGTCAAATTCCTCCCCACTTGTGTCTTTAGGGTTATATTGATTGAGTCTTGAGAGAGAGTCTGCGATATTCGCTTTGCCAGGCCGATAAACAACTCTGTAGTCATACCCCTGCAACCTCAGAACCCAACGTCCGATACGTGCTGATGGTTTTGAAAGCCTGCCAAAAATACACTCGAGTGGCTTGTGATCAGTTTTCAAGTTCAAATTTGCGCCCGTACACATAAATGTTGAACCTCTCACAAGCCCATACTAGGGCAAGGGCCTCTTTCTCGGTCTGGCTGTATCTCCGCTCCACTTCAGTGAGGTTTCTGAACGCGTACGAGATTGCTCGCCACTCGCCGTCTTGAAGTTTAGTCAGCACTGCACCTAAACCCTGTGGACCTGCATCTGCAATAATACGTGTGTTACAGTCTCCTCTGAAATATGCAAGCGTAGTGGCCTGTGCAACTAGCTGTTTCAACTTCTGGAATGACCTTTCCTGTGCTTCACCCCAGATGAAAGGCTCATTCTTCCTCAGGAGGCTCCTGAGTGGTTCTGCTTCTTGCGCGAAGTTGGGAAGAAACTTTGCAGAATACTGTACAAGCTAAACAAATGATCTGACCTGTGAAGCATCTTGTGGAGGGCTTGCGTTCAAGATGGCAGCTACTTTCTCTTCACTGGGCTCAACACCTTGCCTGCTCAGATCATGACCGAAGAATGTAAGCTTGGGAAGACGAAACTGGCATTTGTCCCCATTCAAGGTTAGTCCTTTCTCTTTCAATGGGGTCAGTACAGCATGCAAATTTCTGTCGTGTTCCTTTATGCCACAACCATGCACAATCAAATCATCTGCCAAATTCGCCACTCCCTCGCAACCATGCAAAACATCCGCCACAATTTTCTGGTACTTTTCAGGCGCCGATGTTACCCCGAACATCAAACGCTTGTACCTGTACAAACCACGGTGTGTAACAAACGTTGTGATCTCGCGCGATCTTTCATCTAATTCCACCTGGTGGAAGCCCCACTTGAGATCGAGCTTTGAGAAGACGGTTGAGCCATTAAGGTCATACAAGACCTCCTCAATTGTAGGGATGGGGTGTCTTTCCCTCTCTATTGCTGAATTCGCCCTGGGCATGTCCACGCAAACCCGAATGTCACCGTCTGTCTTCGGGACAACAACCAACGGCGACACCCACTCAGTTGGGTTGTGTGACACCTCCTCGATGATGTCTTTGGCTAACAGCTCATCCAACTTCTCGTCAACCTTGGCTCTTAACCCAAATGGCAGTCTCCGTACGGGTTGTGCAACCGGCGTGACATCGTCTCTTACATGTAATTTCAGCTTTAAATCCTTCAGCTTTCCAACCCCTGTAAAAACCTCTCTATATTTCTCACGGATGTCGGCATCACTTCCTTCAACAGTTAATGAACACACATCTGGACCGACCCTTAACACGCCCAACTTCTCTGCAGTGTTCTTTCCGAGAAGAGATCTTCCTGGACCTTTAACCACTGTGAATTCGTCCGCACAACTATTGCCACTGATCTCGCACACAATCTCAGACACAAATGTCCCAATCACTTCAATAGGATCTTTCTGTCCATAAGCAAACAACTTTTTGCTTGATTTCTTGGACTCACACTGAACACTCTTCTTCTTCAAAACTTCCCAGGTTGCTTGATCAATCACATTGCACGACGCTCCAGAATCAATAAGTACCCCTGGTAACGTCACTCCTCCAACCTTCAAATCAACTTCACTACCACTTGTAGGCTGACTGACTCCAACTGTAAATGCATAATAATCTTGTTGTCCTGTGGCTGAATCCTCTGATAGTTGATAGGCTCTACCCCGTGTATTATTCCTTCCCTCGTCATCCCTTGTAAGACGTTTGCGTTCCTTTGTTTTGCAACAGACTGCAAAATGTCCAATCTCGCCACATGCATTACATTTCTTGCTACGGGCAGGACAATTCGGGTCACGTGCCATATGGTCAGTGTAATTACAGCGAAAACAGCCTCTTACTTTTGACTCCTGAGAACCACCCGACGGTTTACCAGGTTTATTTCCTCAGTTTCTACCCTGCGCTGTCCCTTTTCCTTTTCTGTGAGGTTTGCCGGAAACAGCATTCACCTGACCGGATGACTGATCCATAGCCTTGACCTGCATGTTCACTGCTTCCTGCACACGAGCCAAATCTTGTAAATCCTTCAGAGTAGCATTTTTTTCTCAAGGAACTTACGGCGAAGTTTGCCTCATCAAATGTAATAAACCAGATTTAACTTTAAAAGGAACTACACTTTATTCGGCCGCAATGACACCAGGAAAGCGTGGCCCACACAAATATCCATGATCCTTTGCACGTTTACAGTAACCGAGAACTTCCGCTAACACAACTTCCGGTAGACAATACTATCGATACATTACAATTATCTTTACACATTTTTACCCATAAAAATCTGTCGGTGGACGCTGTTTGACGCTGGAAGAGCTTTATTTATGAGAAATTGAATAATATATTCGAGGAAAAAAAGAAGCATGGTTTTGACGGTAAAAGCCGCGGTTTAACTCATCGATATTAAGTGTCTCGCAAAACCGTCGCGAAGACTTCTGCTGACGGCAGTTGTACAGCTTGCAATTCCGCTGCTTTAACCTAAAGA